AGACCAGCCTGGCCAACATGGTGAAACCCTGTCACTACTAAAAATACAAAAATTACCTGGGCGTGGTGGCAGGCACCTATAATCTCAGCTACGAGGGAGGCTGAGGCAGGAGGATCGTTTGAACCCAGGAGGTGGAGGTTGCAGTGAGCCGAGATCATGCCATTGCACTCCAGCCTGGGCAACAGAGTGAGACTCCATCTCTAAATAAATAAATAAACAAACAAACAAATAAACAGAACTAAACACTGAAGAGAGTGAATTTTACTGTATGTGAATTTGTTGCATTCTAATTTAAAAGAAAATCGCCCAGGCTTCAGGTTAATTCTTTGGCGATCATGAACACTCTGTGGTGTGTAACTTACAGGACAGGGATATCTGAGGTTTCCTGGAGCAGGAGAAGATAGGACGGGCACAGAACCTCACCAGCTGAACCAGCTGAACTATGTCTTTGCAGGGATTTTGTCAGGGAGAAAAAGTATCGGACAGAGGCTGAGATGTTTGGATGGAGCTTTGTCTTTGAGGACTTTGTCTCCGATGAGCTGAGAAACAAAGCCACCCAGCCAATGAAGGTGAGAGAACCTGGTCTTGCGGCTGAGGGGATAGGAGTGGGACCTGGACAGGGAATCCTGTGGGACATGGGTTGCCTGGGACACAGTGGAGAATCAGACCTGAGAGCTGGAGGCAGAAAGGAAGCAAGAGAAACCCACCATGGAGCGTCAGATCAACACACACTCCCAGGAAGTTAACCCTGAACCGAAGTTAGCTCTTGCCTAAAGGTCCAAGTCAGGATAGGGTTCAAGGAACTTGAATCAGGAGATCACCTTGGTGGGCTGGGTGTGGTGGCTCATGCCTGTAATCCCAGCACTTTGGGAGGCTGAGGTGGGTGGATCACCTGAGGTCAGGAGTTCAAGACCAGCCTGGCCAACATGGCGAAACCCCGTCTCTACTAAAAATACAAAAATTAGACAGGCGTGGTGGCACGCTCCTGTAATCCCAGCTACTCAGGAGGCTGAGGCATGAGAATCGCTTGAACCCGGGAGGCAGAGGTTGCAGTGAGCCGAGATGGTGCCACTGCACTCCAGCCTGGGTGACAGAGTGAGACTCTGTCTCCAAAACAAAAAAAAAATCCCCTTGGCAAGCCAGCCTCTAATAAGGGTGGTGAGATTGGACTCTATAAAGATTCCAGTCTCAGCTGGGCACAGCAGCTCACGCCTGTAACCCCAGCACTTTGGGAGGCCGAGGTGGGACAATTGCTTGAGCCCAAGAATTCAAGACCAGCCTGGGCAACATAGATCCCGTATCTACAGGAAAAAAAAAAAAGAAAAGAAAAGAAAGAAAGAAAATTAGCTGGGCATGATGATGTACACCTGTAGTCCCAGCTACTCAGGAGGTTGAGGGGGGAGGATCACCTGAGCCTAGGAGGTTGAGACTGCAGTGAGCGGTGATGGTGCCACTGCACTCTAGCCTGAGTGACAGAGCAATATCTTGTCTCAAAAAAATAAATAAATAAAATTTCAGCCACAACCTCACTTAGACTACCTGAGTCTCAGTCTGACGTCTCTGTTCTGCGTCCTGTGGCTCAGTCGGGGAGGCGCCTTTGCTGGGCCAGAGCATCTTGCAGTCAGTCTCCTTTTTTGCAGCCTGTACTCTGGTGGCTTCCAGTGGAAAAGGCATTTTGGAGGCAGGTAAGGGCTGATTCCACTACCTCATTTTCTACCCCTGCTTGACTCTTTTATTCTCCAGGCCCAGCCTCCTCTCTACCCCTCGTACATCCAGGAACACTGAGTTTCAAAGGAGGACAGGGGAATTTCAGGGAAATCGCTCAGCAGGCCTCCTTTTCCCGTTACCCATCCATTTCTCCCTTTTCAGCCTCCTGTAATCTTTTTTCTGACTCCCACCGCTCCTCACTCACCTGGCTCTCTTCCAGCTCTCTTCCTCCATCTAGTGGTAAAAGCTAAACGCGAGTGCCCTAAACCTAGCCTGCCTCCGACTTAATGCGCTCCCGGAAGCCTGTCTCACTTCATCCTGGCTGTCAGCCTGCAGGTCCTGGCTCTGGCATCCGAGAGAGACTGGAGCACCCAGTGTTACACGTGAGCTGGAATGACGCCCGTGCCTACTGTGCTTGGCGGGGAAAACGGCTGCCCACGGAGGAAGAGTGGGAGTTTGCTGCCCGAGGGGGCTTGAAGGGTATCCAGATGATGAGGCGATTTTCTTTCATTCTTCTCCCCATCCTGCCCTGCATGAGGGGCTTTAAAGAGTGGGAAGGGGCTGGGCGCAGTGGCTCATGCCTGTAATCCCAGCACTTCGGGAGGCTGGGGCAGGAGGATAGCTTGAGGCCAGCAGTGAAAGACCAGCCGGGGCAACATAAGGAGACCTCGTCTCTTCAAAAAATACAAAAATGAACTGGGCCTGGTGGCATGTGCCTCTAGTCCCAGCTACTCGGGAGGCTGAGGTGGGAGGATCCTTTGAGCCTAGGAGTTCAAAGCTGCAGCGAGCTATGATCACACCACCGCTCTCTGGCCTGAGTGGCAGAACAAAACCCTGTCTCAAGAAAAAAAGCAGGGGTTGGGGCAGGAAGGGTCTGTGTTCCCTAGAGCAGTGCTTCTTAAACTATCTGTGGTAGAGGACCAGGGTTTTTTTAATTATTTTTTCTAGTCCATCTCAGACTGATATATTTATGAAATACCATGAAAATTAGTAACTGGAGAACTTGAAAGAACAGACATAAAATATTTTGTTGGAAATTCCACAGACATATTACATTTCAATAAATATAACCAGAGCAACATGGCATAAGGAAAAAGAAGAATTACCAAGACTACACACTTCTGTCTCTGGGGTACAGGGATTAATGTTAGACTACACACCTCTGCCCTTGGGGTACAGGGGTTAATGTTAAGAATCACTGTTTGCTCCTAACTCGGTCATTTGTCATTCCGCAATCCTAATTACACAGAAAGTTAGGAGAGCAAAAAGCAACTCCCCACATTAAACCCCTCTACACAGTCTTTCAGTGAACACCAGGTACATCAACGATCAAAGTTTTTTTTTTGTTGTTTGCTTGTTTGTTTTGAGACGAAGTCTGTCGCTCAAGGCTGGAGTACAGTGGCACGATCTCGGCTTACTGCAACCTCTGCCTCCCAGGTTCAAGCGATTCTCCTGCCTCAGCCTCCTGAGTAGCTGGGATTACAGGCACCTGCCACCATGCCTGGCTAAGTTTTGTATTTTTAGTAGAGACGGGGGTTTCACTGTGTTGGCCAGACTGGTCTTGAACTCCTGACCTCGTGATCCACCTGCCTCGGTCTCCCAAAGTGCTGTGATTACAAGTGTGAGCCACCACGTGTGGCCAATGATCAAAGTTTTTAATATGACTTGTGAGGTTGCCTCTGGCTCGTTCGTTTATGCAATCTAAGTCCAATTTTCAAGTTTCTCAATTTCTGTACTTTTCTCAACATGAACTGATAAGAGATGCTTTATAAACTGGCTCAGATCCCAGAGCCCTGGAGCACATGAGGAGGCCAGGGCCTCTAATGCAGTTCAGAGAGTGGCATGGGAAATAAAAGCAGGTCATCTCACTCTCTTTTTTTCTCATCTCCCTCTAACTTCCTTTTGGTTCCCTCACTCTTTCTGTGTTTTTGTTTTCCTTCCCTAATTCTTCACCTCCCCCTCCTCTGCTGCCTCCTTGCTCTCCTGGCAGGTCAGGTTTACCCATGGGGAAACCGGTTCCAGCCAAACCGCACCAACCTGTGGCAGGTAAGACCTACATTCCTCCTTTCACCAAGCATCCACAGAGACCTGCTAGAGGCTAGGTACTGTGTTGTTAGGCCGTGGCATCCAGAGGGCTTGGGTTCTAATGCAACTGATGACTCATAAGCTGGTAAAGCAAAAGACAATGGGTCATAAGTACTTTTTTTTTTTTTTTTTTTTGAGACAGAGTCTCTCTCTGTCACCCATGCTGGAGTGCAGTGGTGCGAACTCGGCTCACTGCAACCTCCGCCTCCCAGTTTCAAGCGATTCTCCTGCCCCAGTCTCCCAAGTAGTTGGGATTACAGGTCCCTGCCACCATGCCCAGCTAATTTTTTTGTATTTTTAGTACAGATCAGGTTTTGCCATGTTGGCCAGGCTGGTCTCAAACTCCTGACCTCAGGTGATCCACCCGCCTCAGCCTCCTAAAGTGCTGGGATTACAGGCATAAGCCACCGTGCCCAGCCAGCATAAGTACTTTCTATTAAAGATTTGTAGGGCTGGGTGCAGTGGCTCATGCCTGTAATCCCAGCAGTTTGGGAGGCCGAGGGGGTTGGATCACCTGAGGTCAGGAGTTCGAGACCAGCCTGGCCAATATGGTGAAACCCTGTCTCTACTAAAAATACAAAATTAACTGGGCGTGGTGGCAGGCGGCTGTAATCCCACCTGCTTGGGACTTGGGCAGGAGAATCACTCGAACCCAGGAGGCGGAGGTTGTAGTGAGCTAAGGTCATGCTGCCACTGCACTCCAGCCTGGGTGACAGAATGAGACCCTGCCTCAAAAAAAAAAAGTGACTAAATAATAAATAAAACTAAAATAAGCAAATAAAAAAGCACTGTCCTGGGAAGGCCTGCAGGAGCAGGCTACAGTGCTCAGGCACGGGGCGTGGGGACAGGCTGCGGAGGAGCGTGGGAGAAGCTGTCTTCTCGAGGCTCCATGGCATGTGGGGTTCCAGGCAGAGGGCAGGATGTTGCTGAGAGTGGAGAAGTGAGGTGTGGGCTGGGCTTGACCTAGAGCCCTTTGGGTACAGGGGAAACACTCTTCCTAATCCAGCAGGGGGGTCACCCTGGGGATGTGAGGTGATGGGTTTGGGAGCTCTGGATAGGAATCTTAGGTCACCGCCCCGTGCCCTTCCCCTTCCCCAGATGCGACAGCAAGACGACTTTGGTTTTCCTCTGGATAGGCGTGAGGACCTGCCTTGGGACAGGTGGTAAATCTTTTACCCTCCCTTTCTCCCATCAGGGAAGGTTCCCCAAGGGGGACAAAGCTGAGGATGGCTTCCATGGAGTCTCCCCAGTGAATGCTTTCCCCGCCCAGAACAACTATGGTAAGAGCTCTCTTGGGCTTATGGCCATGCCCACTAACTGGTTGCTGGGACCATCGTGTCTAGAGAGGAGGCAGAGGAAAGCACCTCCCTTCCCCGAGTTGGCCCCAGGACCTCAGAGGGTAGGCGGGGTGGTCCGCGGGTCCCAGCCTGGCCTGACCCGCCGGTGGGGCTGCAGGGCTCTATGACCTCCTGGGCAACGTGTGGGAGTGGACAGCATCACCATACCAGGCCGCTGAGCAGGACATGCGTGTCCTCCGGGGGGCATCGTGGATCGACACAGCTGACGGCTCTGCCAATCACCGGGCCCGGGTCACCACCAGGTGAGGGGCTTTGTCCCAGGCAACGCGCGGCTTAGTAGCTGGGGCTGAGGGCTGAATCCCGGTCCCGGAGTGCCCCAACCTTCATATCACCAACCATCTGTGTGCAGTGAGCTGGTCCCAGCACCTCCCTGAGCTTGTGCCCAGTTGTGGGTACAGAAAAGAAAGCCAGCAGCACTTGCTATGAAAAGCAAAGGGGCCCAGGACACCTTGTGACTCTCCTGCCAGCTCTTGGTACCCAGGGAGACTGTGTGTGGCATCTTAATTATGGGGTTTCTCCTCTTGTCCTTACCACTAGGTAGGCAAAGGGAGGGAAGTAGAATGACCACACCAGTAGATCATTAGTGGTGGTCATAGACTTACTGACTCTTCAAACTGGTGGGCACACGAAAAATCTTTTTTTTTTTTTTTTGGAGATGGAGTCTTGCTCTGTTGTCCAGGCTGGAGTGCAGTGGCGCAGTCTCAACTCACTGCAGCCTCAAACTGCCAGGCTCTAGCGATTCTCCCACCTCAGCTCCTCAAGTATCTGGGACTACAGGCATGCACCACTATGCCCGGCTAATTTTTGCAGAGATGGGTTTTTGCCATGTTGCCTAGGTTTGTCTCATTTTCCTGGACTAAGCAATCAGCCCGCCTTGGCCTCCCAGAATGCTAGGATTACAGGCGTGAGCCACCGCATCTGGCCGCGATATTCTCATAGCTTGAGGACAGGTTTTCTCTACTGAGCTGTTCTCAACTGCTAACACAGAAGTTAGTCACTGTCTTTTCTGCCCTCCAGTGCTGTCTCTCGGGGCCACTGTCCCTCCCCCCACTCTTGCAAGGCCCCTTTTGTCCCAAAGCCCCTTCTTGTTCCCCTTCTCCCAGGACTGGCACAGGCTTCCTTCCAGACTATGCCCTCCCCAGCCCTCAAGCTCCCTGATCATGGCGAGCCCTGCGAGTGAGGCAGGGAAGATGGGTCAGCCCCCAGGCCTCTTTCTCAGGATGTGTCCTTCCTCTCTCCCCTCCTCTACTGGCAGGATGGGCAACACTCCAGATTCAGCCTCAGACAACCTCGGTTTTCGCTGTGCTGCAGACGCAGGCCGGCTGCCAGGGGAGCTGTAAGCAGCCGGGTGGTGACAAGGAGAAAAGCCCTCCAGGGTCACTGTCATTCCCTGGCCATGTTGCAAACAGCCCAATTCCAAGCTCGGGAGCTTCAGCCTCAGGAAAGAACTTCCCCTTCCCTGTCTCCCATCCCTCTGTGGCAGGCACCTCTCACCAGGGCAGGAGAGGACTCAGCCTCCTGTGTTTTGGAGAAGGGGCCCAATGTGTTGAAGGTGGCTGGGAGCCAGGTGTTTCTCTTACAGGCCAAGTATTATTGACACAGGGGCAAACATGCAAACAATTAGAACAGAGGGCTCTGAAAGGCCATTTGTTAAGCATTTTAAAATCTATTCTCTCTCTTTCTCCCTGGATGATTCAGGAAGCTGACATTGTTTCCTCAAGGCAGAATTTCCCTTGTTCTGTTTTCTCAGCCAATTGTTGTGGAAGGAGAATGCTTTCTTGGTGGCCTCATCTGTGGTTTTGTGTCCCTCTGAAGAAGGAAACTAGTTTCCACTGTGTAACAGGCAAAACGTGTAACTAAAGCACAGTTCAGTCCTAAAAGGGTCTGGGAGAACCAAATGATGTATTAGGTGAAGCGGTGCATTGTGGGAATCACAAAGCAAATAGTACTCCAGAAAGACAAATATCAGAAGCTTCCCATTCTATTATTTTTTTTTTTTTTTTTTGAGACAGGGTCTTGCTCTGTTGCCCAGGCTAGAGTGCAGGGGTGATCACTGCTCATTGTAGTGTTGAACTCCTGGGCCCAAGCAATTCTCCCACCTCAGCCTCCCGAGTAGCTGGGACTACTAAGTGTGCACCACCAGGCCTGGCTAAGTTTGTGAACTTTTGTAGTGATAGGATCTCACTATGTTGCCCAGGGTGGTCTCAAACTCCTGGCCTCAAGCGATCCTCTCACCTCGGCCTCCCAAAGTGCTGGGATTACAGGTGTGAGCCACCTCGCCTGGGCCTCCTTCTCCATATGCCTCCAAAAATATGTCCCTGGAGAGTAGCCTGCTCCCACACTGTCACTGGATGTCATGGGGTCAATAAAATCTCCTGCGATTGTGTATCTCAGACATTTCTGTGTCTTTGATTCTCACCTTGGGACCCTAAGAGGGCCCAAGTGTCAGTAACTCTGGGCCTCCCCTAAAGAGAAACAGAGATGGTGGCTCATCCAGGAAGTGGAGGAGTAGGCGGCTCCTGGTTCTCAGGCCACCTGTGATCTCTGCCCACCCAGGGCCTGCCCCAGCCTGCAGGTATTGCTGTGTGGTGGGAACACCCGCTTCCCTTGTGCACAGCCTTTGAGAGGAGATTATGACCTCAGCTCCAGGGGTTCCTGGCCAGGGCCAAGCACTCCTTCTGCAGAGGACTACACGCGTCTCACCCCTTGGACTTATATTTCCGTGACTTCCCCTCCCCACCTGCCCCCCAGCCCTCCCTGACTGGCCAGCCCCTCAGTAGTCCTCCTCGGCCAGGGAGAGGAGCACGGCCTTGGGTGTGTTCTCGAAAAGGGCAGCCCGGTTCTGCTGCTGCCCCTTCTTCACCCAGTGGCCATAGATTCGGAAAGCGTAGGCATCGATGAGCCGGCGCAGAGGCCGGAGGGCGTAGGGGTCTCGGATGACGATCTCCCGGGTCACCGGCTTCACTCGGCGGTACTGGTAGTAGATCCGCACTGAAGCCAGCACAGTGACAGCGATCACCTGCAGGGCCAGGTGGAGAAGCTGGGCTGCAGCTGCCCCCCTGCCAGGCCCTGCCCCTCCGGCACAGGAACGCTCTGGGCTTGTTTGCCACGAAGCCTTGGGTGGCTTCTGTGGGGCCCTCCTAGTGTCCTCCACTTCCCACCTGGCCAGCATCCATAGGGACAGAGCCAGTGGGCTGACACCTGCCATCTCTGAAGCCATCACAGGGCGGCTGGGAGGGGTGGGGTGGGTACTCTGGAAACCCACGGGTTGTAAGGACCCCTGGGAGAGGAGAGGGCTTAGAGGTTTGCACTTGGGGAGCTGGCGGGTCTGGGTCAGAACACTTCATACCTTGAACTTCCCCCGAGGGCTGAAGTGCCGCACTTCCTCTACCACGTACTGCTGGAAGAAGGGGTGTGCCAAGGCCTCTTCCGCTGTGTATCGGTTCTGGGGTTGCACCACCAAGAATCGGGAGACCTGGGAGGGGAGGAGAGGGGAACGGAGAACATCAAGGCAGGTCCCCTCCAGCATGTCAGGAGAGGCGGGGCCTCCCCGGGCAGGGGAGCCTGGCATCGCAGTCCTGAGCCCAGGAGCCAGTTGGCCTGGCCTCTTACCAGGTCCTTCACAGTGTCCGAGTAATCATCCCACTCGGGCGAGCCAAACTGGTAGTTGCCGCTCATGATCATCCTCAGCATCAGCATCTGCTTCCGGTGCCAGAAGGGCGGGGAGCCGGCCAGCAGTGTGTACATGATGACGCCAGTGCTCCACCTGGACGCGTGAGGGCCCAGGGCCACTTACCCAGCGCCAGGGGCACCGACCCAGCCCTGCCGGCTCCCTCCCTCACCCAGCCCAGGCAGGTGATCCTCCTTCCTCGGTGCACTCACATGTCTACCTCCTTCCCATAGCCCGGGTGGTCCTCATTCATGGAGCACTCAATAATCTCAGGGGCCAGGTAACTGGGGGTCCCGCAGACCTCTGCAGGAACAGTCATCATCAAGACAGGTCAGCAGGGCACTCAGAAGAGGAAGTCCAGGCCGGCCGCAGTGACTCATTTCTGTAATCCTAGCAATTTGGGAGGCCAAGGCAGGCAGCTCACCTGAGGCCGGGAGTTCGAGACCACCCAGGCCAATATGGCAAAACTCCGTCTCTACTAAAAATACAAAAATTAGCCAGGTGTGGTGGCACATGCCTATAGTCCCAGCTACTCAGGAGGCTGAGGCAGGAGAATCGCTTGAACCTAGAAGGCGGAGGTTGCAGTGAGCTGAAATCATCCCATTTCACTCCAGCCTGGGCAACAGAATGAGACTCTGTCTCAAACGAAAAAAAAAAAAAAAGGAAGTCCAAAGAGACAATGGAGATGGAACAGAAATAGAGCTTGGACTGGGACTCCCCCAATATCCACCAACTTCAGGGCCCAGGGCAGGGCGGGGTACTGCCCACAGGGCCACCAGCTTAGGGCCTATTGCTTCCCTGGTCACTTCTAGCCATCCTGGCCTGGAACAAGGGTAATGGGAACCTAGGAGAGGACTTACCTGAAGAAATGTCTAGCCCTGCCAGGCGTGATGGCTCACGCCTGTAATCCCAGCACTTTGGGAGTCCGAGGCGGGTGGATCACAAGGTCAGGAGTTCAAGACCAGCCTGACCAACATGGTCTATCTCTACTAAAAATACAAAAATTAGCTGGGCGTTGTGGCGCGTGCCTGTAATCCCAGCTACTCAGGAGGTTGAGGCAGGAGAATCGCTTGAACTCGGGAGGCAGAAGTTGCAGTGAGTCGAGATTGCGCCACTGCACTCCAGCCTGGGTGACAGTAAGACTCCCATCTCAGAAAAAAAAAAAAAAGAAAAAAGAAAAAAAAATCCTACCCCTTGAAATGGTGGAATTTTTATTCTGGGGAACAATTAAGTTAGGGGAGAAACCCAGGCCATCTCTATTCCGCGGAGGGTTGATTGAGCGCCCGAGGCCCGGACGTGGGCCAAGGCCATGTTACCAGACCTCGCAGCCTCTCTCCTGGCTCCAGCTGGCAGGAAAAGCCAAAGTCTGTGAGCTTGATGTTCATGTTGTCATCCAAGAGGATGTTCTCGGGCTTCAGGTCCCGGTGCACAATGTTGAGTTTGTGCAAGGCGCAGATCACCTCCAGCAGAGCTCGCATGATCTTTCTAGGGTGGGGCACACACTTGTCACTCTTCCTCTGCGCAGAGTCAGGCGACAGGCAGGGAGACACAGCTCACATTTCAGCCACACTGCAAGGGAGCAGCACACACGCCCAGCCCAGACACATGCACCAGCCCAGACACATGCACGCCCTGCCTCCCCTGAGGCCCCAGTGCCTGTGGCCCTAGGCCAAGTGGGAGGGAGCGGAGAGGGGGCAAAGGGATGCTCACCTGGTTTCCTTCTCACTCAAAGTGACCTTCTCAGTGAGGTAGTCAAAGAGCTCCCCTCTCTTCATCCTGTGGAAACAGACGGTTGATAGCTGGGTCGGTCCCAAGACCACCATCCTCCTTACCCTGCTCCCAGAGAGCTGCCTTCTGCCCCGATACCTCTAGAAGCTAAGTGGGCCACTCCCCGTGGAGAACCACAGTCTGGGGAGAGGAACCGGGGAAGTGAGGAGAGAAGTGTTCTGGAAGAACTGGGAGAAAAGCAAAGGAGGCTGGAGAGAAGTGGCCCATGTCAGGGGCTCAGGCTCTCATCAACCCTCCGAGGAATAGAGATGGCCTAGGTTTCTCCCCTGACTTAATTTTTCCCCTGGAAAAGTTTTTCCCACCATTTCATGGGGTAGGCATTTCTTCAGCTAAGTCCTCTCCCCAGGTTCCCATTACCCTAGTTCCAAGCCAGAATGGCTAGAAGTGACCAGGGAAGCAATGGGCCCTGAGCTAGTGGCCCTGTGAGCAGTACCTCTCCCAGCCCTGGGCCCTGAAGTTGGTGGATTTGGGGGAGCCCCAGCCCAAGTGCCATTTCTGTTCCATCTCCATTGTTTCAGTGTGGGGGTTCTCCCATCTGTGGAAGTGACAGTGTGGACTGGGATGTATCGGGGCCTAAATGATGGCTGGAGGCTGAAAGAGAGGACCATGAACCACCGGCCCAGGAGCCGAGACCCAGATCAGAAGGACATGAGTATCCCGATTTTTTTTTTTTTTTCCCCGAGATGGAGTTTTTGCTCGTCACCCAGGCTGGAGTGCAATGACGCAATCTCGGCTCACTGCAACCTCCGCCTCCCTGGTTCAAGCGATTCTCCTGCCTCAGCCTCCTGAGGAGCTGGGATTACAGGTGCCCACCACCACACCCAGCTAATTTTTGTATTTTTAGTAGAGACAGGGTTTCACCATGTTACCCAGGCTGGTCTTGAACTCCTGACCTCAGGTGATCACCTGCCTTGGTCTCCCAAAGTGCGGGGATTATAGGCGTGAGCCACGACACCCAGCTGAGTATCCCGATTTTTTCCCAGGAAACAAATGGGAAGAATCAGCTGTGCAAGAGTTGCAGGCGCAAAGTTTGCCAATTATGGGATTAAGAATTGAGGTTCAATCTTCTTACCTCCTGGGATGATCTAGAAAGAACTCTCTGCTAGAATCATCTAGTTATACCCTGGAGGGCTCCTCAGGGCAGCATTAAAAATAGCTTCCCCCAGCAACTTCTTCAAAGGTTAAAGACATTTGAGCTGCCCCCAAGAGCTATTCAGGACAGTGCCACAGAGCAGAGTCAAGACAGCTGCTGCTGGTGAGTCTGGAGGGGTCCGAGAAAGTCTCCCTCTGTTGCCCAAGCTGGAGTGCGGTGGCTCAATCTCAGCTAACTGCAACCTCTGCTTTCTGGGTTCAAGCCATTCTTGTGCCTCAGCCTCCTGAGTGACTGGGATCACAGATATCTGTCACCATGCTGGGCTAATTTTTGTATTTTTTGTAGAGATGGGATTTCGCCATGTTGCCCAGGCTGGTCTCGAACTCCCGGCTTCATCTGATCCGCCTGCCTCAGCCTCCCAAAGTACTGGGATTACAGGGGTGAACCAGCATGCTCGACCTTAATTTTATATTTTTTTGTAGAGATGGGGTCTTGCTTTGTTGCCCAGGCTGGTCTCAAACTCCTGGCCTCAAGCAATCCTTCCACCTCGGCCTCCCAAAGTGTTGAGACTACAGGTGTGAGGCACCGTGCCTGGCCGATAATAAGTCTGGAATCCACATTTCACAGAGTACTTTGTAGTGTTCACATTTGATGCTTAGCAATAACGGGCTCATCTTACTAATCCTATTGATGCAGAAGTAGGGGCATGATGATGGTGGTGATGGTGATGATGACATTAACCTTTGGACCACACCCACAGGTGCAACCTCTACCACCTGCCTCTCTCCTCGATACTGCTGGCCTCCCTTTTTCCAATCCCGCCTCATTACAGTCGTCCCTAGATAGTCAGTGAGATCTTTTCAAAAGGAAGTCAGGCTGGGCGCGGTGGCGCACGCCTGTAATCCCAGCACTTTGGGAGGCTGAGGCAGATGAATCACTTGAGGTCAGGAGTTCGAGACCAGACTGGCCAACATGGCGAAATCTTGTCTCTACTAAAAAAGTACACACATAAAACATTTGCTGGGCATGGTGGTGGGTGGGTACCTGTAATCCCAGCTACTTGGGAGGCTGAGGCAGGAGAATCGCTTGAACCCGGGAGACAGAGGTTGCAGTGAGCCGAGATCACACCACTGCACTCCAGCCTGGGCGACAAGAGCAAAACTCTGTCTCAAAAAAAAACCAAAAGTAAATCAGATCACGTCAGCCGCCCAGTCTTGACCCTCCAAACTCCTTACCATGGCTAAAATGCCTGCAGGACCTGGTCTTTGGTGCTGACCGACCTTACATCCTGCCATCCTCTGCTTGGGTCACTTCCTGGACATGCCTTCCTGACCACTCAGTCTAAGGAAGCCCCTGTCTCTTGCTAACCCTTGTTCTACTTTATATATGTCTACAGTTCTCCCTCTTTATCTGCAGGGGATATGTTCCAAGACCCCCAGTGGATGCCTGAAACCATGGATAGCACTGAAGTCTATACTTACTATGTTTTTCCTATATGTACATACCTAAGATGAAGTTTATAAATTAGGCACAGAGATTAACAACCAATAATAAAATAGAACAATTATATCAATATACCGTGCCAGGCATGGTGGCTTATGCCTGTAATCCCGGCACTTTGGGAGACTGAGGTGAGAGAATTGCGTGAGGCCAAGAGTTTTGGGGTTTTTTTTTGTTTTATTCTGTTTTTGTTTTTGAGACGGAGTTTTGCTTTTGTAACCCAGGCTGGAGTTCAATGGCACGATCTTGGCTCACTTCAACCTCCACCTCCTGGGTTCAAGCGATTCTCCAGCCTCAGACTCCCAAAGTGCTGGGATTACAGTTGTGAGCCACTGCGCCTGGCCTGAGGCTAGTAATTATTAGCATTCACACTATGCCACTCACTGTGCTATTATCACTCCCATAATACTGAGGAGAAAACCGAGATTTAAAGAAATGATCCAGCCCACAAGTGGTGAACCCAGGTTTCCAAACCCAGCAGCCGGACCCCAGGGGCTGATCTGTCTAAACACCGGGATTGTATTTGGCATCCTCAGCTCAGGAGCTGGCTGTGGTCTCCAGGCAGCCCTGGGGTTGGGGAGCGGATGACAGTTGACAGTCGAGGTTCTCTCAGGTGTGGCTTGCTCCAGGGCTGGGTACTTACAGGTCAAACACCAAGAAGAAGAAAGTGTTGGTCTCATAAGTGTCCTTCAGCTGTACTGAAATGGAAATGGCTAGCTTGTCTCAAGTAGCAGGGGAGCCCAGGTAGGGGCAGCTGGGGCACAGGGGTCAGGGACCGAGGCTGCTGTGGGCTAACTTCAAAAGCTGACAGAGGAATCAGGAGGGTGCTCAAAGGACATCAACCCAGGGTGTGGGCAGCCCCAGGGACTTTATTATTATTATTATTATTATTAGAGACAGGATCTCACTGTGTCACCTAGGCTGGAGTGTAGTAGTGCAATCATAACTCACTGCAGCCTCAAACTACCGGGCTCGAGTGATGCTCCTGCCTCAGCCTCCTGAGTGGCTGGGATTACAGGCATGCATCAGCACGCCTGGCTAATCAGCCCAGGGACATCAAACCCCCATTCCCCTGCCTGCATCCATCCCAGCCTGGGACCCCTTCTGTCAGAGCAGTGAGGGTGGAGCTGGGAGCCTTGAGCCTGGGTGGTTCTAGCTGGCTATGTGGTGGGGTCACACTCCCTGGCTTGGGCTGTCAGGGCAGAATCACAGGGGGGCACCCCGTCATGTGACTTGGGGTCATCACTCACTGATGTTGGGGTGCCCTGAGACCTTGCGCAGGATATCCACCTCCTTCAGCGTGGCTTCTCGCAGCTCTCGCACCTCCTCGGGGCTGAAGCTGCCTCCACCGGTGACGTCGATAACCTTCACTGCGTACTCCTGGCTCGTGGGCTTGTGGATGCATCGCCTGACCACACTGCTAATGCCCCTGGAAGTGCAGAGGACAGATGGCCTCGGGGGGTCCCTCACCCCATGGGGAGTCCCAGATTCGAGGCTGCAGCAGAGATGTCCTGCCCTTGTCAATAGATTTACACTTTCCCCCAAGTTCCTCTGAGCTTTTGGAAATGGTGGATGAATAAATACAGGCATAGTCAGGTGATTTGCCCAGAGCTGGTGAGTAACAAGCCTGCTCTCAGGCCATGTAACTCCTAGTTCAGTGCTCTTTTTTTTTTTTTTTTTTTTGAGAGAGGAGTCTCACTCTGTCGCCCAGACTGGAGTGCAGTGGCACAATCTTGGCTCACTGCGACCTCCACCTCCCGGGTTCAAGCAATTCTCCTGCCTCAGCCTCCCGAGTAGCTGGGACTACAGGCGCCTGCCACCACGCAGAGCTAATTTTTGTATTTTTACAGGAGACAGGTTTCACCATGTTGGCCAGGCTGGTCTCAAACTCCTGATCTCAGGTGATCCTCCTGCCTTGGCCTCCCAAAGTGCTGGGATTGCAGGCATGAGCCACTGTGCCCGGCAGTCCCTCGCTTTTTTTTTTTTTTTTTTTAGTAGAGATGGTTAGCCAGACCTGGTGGCACACACCTGTTGTCCCAGCTACTAGGGAGGCTGAGGTGGGAGGATCACTTGAGCCTAGGAGGCAGAGACTGTAGTGAGTCAAGATCATGCCACTGTACTCCAACCTGGACTACAGGGCAAGACCCTATCTTAAGAAAAAAAAAGAGATACGGAGTCTTGCTATGTTGCCCAGGCTGATCTTGAACTCTTGGCCTCAAGCAATCCTCCCACCTCAGCCTCCCAAAGTGCTGGGATTACAGGTGTGAGCCATTGCACCTACCCCTGGGAACTTTTTGCTGGGAGAGGTTTCTCTTATCTTTCCTGGCTTCAGGAGGGCAGGACCCCAAACCAAGGGTTTCTCCAAGAGAACAGCGCTTTGGGGATGAAAGTGGGGTCAGTACTTGGGGTGGAGCGGAGTTGGCTGTAGCCTACAGGGCCTGCTGGAGCCTAGGACAGCACTTCGTGGGGAGAGCTTGGGCCTTACCTGCCCAGGATCTCTTTGGGCTCGTAATTCTCATAGAAGTCCTGTGCAGAATGAGAGTCCGGCAGTGCCTCATCCCGGGTCATGCTCAGATCTTCAGCAGGGGAACTCTGAGTGGCTCTGAGAGGGGAACAGAAAGAAGCTGTCAGCCTTCCTGACCCAGGGGGTGTTCTCCTTGGGGCCTGGAACTGTTTCTCACTCATCCTTGTATCTGGCACCACACTGGCCTATAGTGAATGTTCCAAATAAATGTTTGTGAATTGAGGCCGGGCGTGGTGGCTCACACCTATAATCCCAGCACTTTGGGAAGCTGAGGCAGATAGATCACTTGAGGCCAGGATTTCAAGACCAGCCTGGCCAATATGGTGAAACCCCATCTCTACTAGAAATACAAAAATTAGCTGGTTGCAGTGGCACATGCTTGTAGTCTCAGCTATTTGGGAGGCTGAGGCAGGAGAGTCACTTGAACCTAGGAGGCAGAGGTTGCAGTGAGCGGAGATCACGTCACTGCACTCCCGCCTGGGCAACATAGCCAGACTCTGGCTCAAAAAAAGTAAATTCTTTGTAGAGATGGGGTCTTGCTCTGTTACCCAGGCGGGAGTGCAATGGTACCATCATAGCTCACTGCTGCCTCAACCACCTGGGCTCAAGTGATCCTCACACCCCAGCCACCTGAGTAGCTGGGACTAAAGTACCCCCCAGGCTGGAGTGCAGTGGTGCAATCTTGGCCCTCAGCTCACTGCAACCTCCACCTCCCATGTTCAAGCGATTCTCCTGCCTCAGCCTCCCAAGTAGCTGGAATTACAGGCACCTACCACCACGCCTGGCTAATTTTTTCTGTTTTTAGTAGACAGGATTTCACCATGTTGGCCAGGCTGGTGTCGAACTCCTGACCTCAGGTTATCCAACCGCCTTGGTCTCCCAAAGTGCTGGGATTACAGGCATGAACCACCATGCCCAGCTCTAATATTTAAGTTTTTTGTAGAGACGGGGTCTCCCTATGTTGCCCAAGCTAGTCTCAAACTCCTGGCCTCAAGCATTCTTCCCGCCTCAGCCTCCCAAAGAGATGGGATTGTAGCCATGAGACACCACTGGACCTGGCCACAATTTCCTTTTTAATAGGCCACTCCTGTAGCCTCTCCTTATCTCCCCTTGTTGTGACTGTGCTTCCTGAAAACACACCCCCTTCTAGGACAGGTTTCCTGTGCTCCATCCCACTGCTCCTTCCTCGTGTGTGTGTGTGTGTGTGTGTGTGTGTGTGTGTAGAGATGGAGTCTTGGTCTGTCACCCAGGCTGGAGTGCAGTGGTGTGATCTTGGTTCACTGCAACCTCCCCTTCCCGGGTTCAAGCAATTCTCCTGCCTCAGCCTCCAGAGTAGCTGGGATTACAGACACGCACCACCATGTCTGGCTAATTTTTGTATTTTTAGTCGAGATGGGGTTTCACCATGTTGGCCAGGATGGTCTCAAACTCCTGACCGCAAATGATCCACACACCTTGGCCTCCCAAAGTGCTGAGATTACAGGCGTGAGCCACTGCACCCGGCCCTTCCTCATGTATTCTATCCATAACTGGGACTTTCATAATCACTCACTCACTAATTCATTACATCTCCATTCTGCAGACATTGAACACCCACTCTTTGCCAACCACTATGCTGGGTGCTCTGAGGGATGGAGAGCTGGGTGGGTCCATCCCGGTCCCTACCTCTGGTGTCATTCGCCAGTGTATGCTCTCACCTCCCCCGCTAGACTGTCACCTCTAGGATGTCCTAGCCGTCTCTGCCCCCCATACCCAGTGCGGGTGTCTGGCAGGGGCTATTCCTTGAATGTGAGTCAGTGGTTGGGCAGGTACCCCTTTGGTGCTCAGGGTCCTGCTGGCAGAATGCCCCATGTCCTACCTAACAATGGCCAGTGAGCCCTGAGTGGTCCTGCTGCAGCATGGAGGCAGTACAGAGCCAGGACACTCAGGCCTGGACACAGAGGCGCTGAGCTACCCCGCCTTGCGTCAGGAACATGGAGGCTCCTACCAGGGAACTCCACTCCTGCTTCAGATGTAGGATTTAGGCCTGGCATGATGGCTCACACCTGTTATCCCAGCACTTTGGGAGGCTGAGGTGGGCAGATCACTTGAGGTCAGGAGTTCGAGACCAGCCTGGGCTACATGGCAAAACCCCATCTCTACAAAAAATACAAAAATTAGCCAGGCATGATGGCTCTCGGACCTGTGGTCCCAGTTACTTGGGAGGCTGAGGCAGGACGATCACTTGAACCCAGGAGGTGGAGGTTGCAGTGAGCTGAGATCGCACCACTGTACTCCAGCCTAGTTGACGGAGTGAGTGAGACTCTGTCTCAAAAAACAAAACAAAACAGGCCGGGCACGGTGGCTCATACCTGTAATCCCAACACTCTGGGAGGCCGAGGTGGGAGGATCACGAGGTCAGGAGATTGAGACCATCCTGGCTAATACGGTGAAACCCCGCCTCTACTAAAAAATACAAAACATTAGCCGGGCGTGGTAGTGGGCGCCTGCAGTCCCAGCTACTCGGGAGGCTGAGGCAGGAGAATGGCGTGAACCCGGGACACGTTGCTTGCAGTGAGCCAAGATCATGCCACTGCACTCCAGTCTGGGCAACAGAGCGAGACTCCATCTCAAAAACAAAACAAAACAAAACAAAAAAACAAGACAAAACAAAACAAAATCAGATGCAGGATTTGAGGAATGCAGAAAATATCATTTACCAACAGGGAAAAAGGCAGATAGAAAACCGGCCCAACCTGCCACTCAGCAGGGCCAAAGCTGCCTCCAACCCCCTTTTCCCCACTGCTTCTGGGCCTAAGAAGGCCTGGCCTCTCAAAGGAGCCAATTTGCTGACCAGCCAAGCAGCAGCTCTGGCTGCCTCCGGGATTGGGCAGGCTGTTCCAGGAATCCTGGTGGCCCCACTACTGGGTGCCTGGTTACCAGAGGAAGGTTTAGAATAACAAGTCCCCTCTGCTGGTGCCAGGCATCTGGGCTGCTCACGCACAGGCCTTCTCTGCCCGCCCCATCAGCAACTCGGCGGAGCCTGGGACTGTCTGTTTCCCATAAAAACAAGCCCATTTGCTGGTAAGTCCTTCTAAGTCCTCACAATGGGCATCTGTGCCTCATCACCTCCCAAAGCTGGGTAGTGCCAGCTCTCTCCTCTCCCCCAGCCCTCCATGAGCAGAAAGTACACCTGGAACCCCCTATGAGATGCCAGCCTAGGCCTAAGGCTCCAGTCCTTGGCACAGCCTACTTGGCCAAGTTGTGGCTACACTCACCTCTCCTGGGGTGCTGAGGAGGTGGTTATCTTGCCCCAGCTCCAGCTCTGACTGGGGCCAACTTAGCGCCCCTGTCTACTGCCCCACCCACCCCTCACACCTTTCCCAAGACCCCTGTGGACAGAGTTCTCACATGGGAGTAGGTAGCCCAGTCCTTTTTTTAGACAGAATCTCTCTCTGTCACCCAGACTGGAGTGCAGTGGCGAGATCTCAGCTCACGGCAACTTCTGCTTTCCGGGTTCAAGCGATTCTCCTGCCTCAGCCTCCTGAGTAGCTAGGACTACAGGCATGAGCCACCATACCCAGCTAATTTTTGTATTTTTAGTAGATACGGGGGCTCCACCATGTTAGCCAGGCTGGTCTTGAACTCCTGACCTCAAGTGACCCTCCCACCTTGGCCCCCCAAAGTGCTGGGATTACAGGTGTGAGCCACCGTGCCTACCTGGCCTGGTCCTTTTTGGCACAGAACTTCCCTCCCCTGGACTCTGAAAGTCCAAAACCCAGATCAGCCTCAGGACCTCTTTTCTGTAGGAAAGTCCCCAGATGGGGGTTTCAAGGGTCAGTGCTGCCACTCTCCCTGGTCCATCCGCCTTCAGAAAAGAGACATGGATAGAGTGGATGTGGGAGTTTCTATCTTCTCCACCCTCACTCCTCCCTGCTCCCTGCCTGTCACCTGGCTTTTGTCCATCAATGGGCTAGCTACTCACAGTTAAGTCCTTGCAGGCTCTTGAAGGAGCTTGACAAGAATCCCAAAGGCCTCAGAGCCCCCGGGGAGAGGGGACCACAGAGGGCTGAAGCTGTGTCCTGAGCAGACACTTGGAAGATATCGTCTGCTGTTGTTTTGGGTTTTGCTATTTGATGACCGGAGGCTAACGTGCCAAAAATAAATCACAACTGCAAACCCGGGAGGCAGGCCAAGGCTCCGCAGGGACAGGGCATGGGGCCGAGTATCACCAGGGGGGACCTCTGGTGGAGGATGAGGGAAACTCGGGTGGCCTGAGACCAGGCCAGACAGGATGTATTGATCCTCCCTCTGGAGCTCCCTTGGCTTCCAGGACCAGAGAACGTAAATCCAGCCGCGTGCGGAGGGCACTTGCTTCACTGGGAGCAATTTTGATTTCTGCGTATGCTGACAGCACTGCCCTGGAGGCTTTCTCAGTGAACGACTGCAGCAGCTGACTGCCCTAGCTGGCCCAGGGACATTTAGGGACAGTGTGCATGATTACCCTATATAATGCAGACCTGTACAGATTAGGGAGGCCAGGTGCAGTGGTGAAGGGGTGGCCTACCCTTCCACACCTGTGGGCGTTTCTCATTAGGTGGCACGAGAGACTTGAGAAAAGAAATGAGACACAGAGACAAAGTATAGAGAAAGAAAAAGTGGGCCCAGGAGACCGGCACTCAGCATACAGAGGACCCACATCGGCACCGGTCTCTGAGTTCCCTAGTATTTATTGATAATTATCTTTACCATCTTAAAGACAAGGGAGTGGCAGGATAATAGGATCACTGTAGGGAGAAAATCAGCAGTAAGACATATGAATAAAGATCTCTGTGACGTGAATAAATTTAAAGGAAAATGATGTGCCTTGATATGCATATGCAAACATCTCCATAAACCTTTTAGCAGCATTGCTCCAGCAAGTCCCAGCTTTTGCCGTAAGATGGTTTTCCATTGCTCAGATGCTTTTCTCTATCTCAACTGACAAAAGGCCTTCTTTTCTCTTGTACTAGTCCTCCTCAGCACAGACCCTTCACGGGTGTCAGGCTGGGGGACGATCAGGTCTTTCCCTTCCCACGAGGCCATATTTCAGACTATCACATGGGGAGAAACCTTGGACAATACCTAGCTTTCCTAGGCAGAGGTCCCTGCAAACTTTGGCAGTGTACTTGTCCCTGGGTACTTGAGATTAAGAGAAT